GCTCAAAACTCATTCATAAGAGTATAACATAATTTACATACCACCAAAACATGGGTACTTGAAAACTTAAAATTCTTAGACTACTTTTTTACCAGACATATGCATAATTGTTTCCTAAACTTTAAACACTTATAACTCTTTCGTATGAATTCGGATTGGACTGATTATTTTTGCTATGTGCTATTTAACGTCTTAACCAAATCTCAAATCAAAAGCCTCATAGTTTGATGTACTTAAGCTTGATTTCTTTAGCCTCAAACATGAATTATTGCAAATAGAAACCACAGACTCTGTAAGTTTTACTCTTTAAAATCGGTTGTAGAATAAATTGGTACCGAAGTACCGGTACCATATAACACCTATCGTTTTGGTCATCTCCATCTTCCAGTTTCGATACTTTCGTGTACGGTAACAATTCAATCCAATTCATGTATCAAGCTTACCCCTAATTAGACCAATTATTAATTACTTTTTATCAGATAAAAAATCATTATTAATACATGAAAAATACATCATTAACAATAACATCTGCGTATTTAGGAGGCATCTCTGAAGGGTGTGCAAGGTGAGTGACCGCACAAGGCCTACATCATGACGGGACCATATTTTTTACATACATGTATGTACAACAGTGTTGCAAAACTCGGGTTAGGCGGCTGGGTACTCGGACTCGGACATGTCCCGAGGCCCCTAATTAGGAATCAACCAAAAAATACTCGGAATCAGTCATACTTGGTTAAAATCGATCAACCTTAGGGCTACTCGGTCAAACTCGGCTCCAATTCGGTAAAACTCGGAGAAAATCGGTCCAACTTGGTCAACTCGGAAAAACTCTGTCAAACCTTGAAAAAACTCAGAAAATTAGATTTTTTCTTAGAAAAAAAATCCATAATTGTTATTGATATTCATCTATTTTGTTATAAATGTTAATAAACTTGTGATATTTGTTATATATATAATTTTTCTAAAATTAATTTCATATAATTTATCCAATCCGAGTACTTACCGTCTAGACCGAATACTCGCTAGTCGGCCGCCCTGGGAACGCCTAACAAGTTTTGCAACATTGATATATAGGTTTAAATTTAATGTACAGACTGTATATCATATTATCGTTCATTTGTTTTAAATATTTTTATAAAATTTGTGACTTATTGTAGTATTAACGAATTTTATTTATATATAAATTTTTTATATTTAGAAGTCCATTTTTATTATTGAACCCTCGAAATCAACTAGACACAAGTAAACGTATTTAATTATTTTGAAACCAAAATTTTATCCATATTTATATCAAAGATAATATTAATAAATAAATCCATAATAGAAGTCGATGATAGTTACATACTTCCATCAAACTCGAAATGAGTGTCCCAATCAAGATGTGTGTGGATCAACCAAATGGGCTTTACTGATATCATTTAGTAAACATATTCATCATCATATATCCAAATTCCTTAAATGAAAAATAATGTATTTTTAGGAAAATATATTAAAGTGACAGTTAAATTCATTCGTTTAAAAACATGTTAGTTTGGTTTAAAGAACTAGTTGAACATGAAACAGATCAAACACTTGGAATGAGTCCAAATCACTTTAAATGTATTTGATACTGTAATATTGTTACAAACAATAAAATTGTTTTTAGTTAAAAGGAAGATTATTACTTAATAATATATAATACACTAATTATCGACATAAGTTTTGAAAAAATAGACAAACAAAATGTTCACGTATCAGCCTGGCCCACCATGGCTTTTTCAGTATGCTAACTAATAAATAATAATACTCTGACTATTTTACCAACTCCAAACGAAATGCATCCGTATGTTATTATAAAATAAAACAGACATATTTAATAGCTTAATTATTTTATAATATTCAAACAAAATAAACAAATAATATAACCATTTTGAAAAAAGCATACAATGACCCCTTGTAGTCTATTTCCTATTATTAGCATTGAATGTATCATATAATACAATAAAATAAAACAGACATATCTGTTATATAGTATAAGAATTATAAGAGAGTGAAATAAAATATTGGATGCCAGGCCTGAAATGGGCCTAGGCCCGACAGGAAAAAGCAAGGCATATATACCTCTCACGTGTGATGATGGCCCAGTCAATTTGGACTATATGTCTTTATTTTCCACACGTGTATGCGACCAAACACATAGGACGTGACATGTTTTATCAGCATGCAATTCCGCCGTCAATTGCGCGCGTCGTATTTCTATATTCTAGAAAGGACTTAACTGTATCGCTAACGGAGTATTAAATAATTGACGGTGGTTTAGATGTTATTCCGAAGAATCACTTTCCAGTTAATGGGTCTAATCCTCCACGAAAAGTAAGAAAGTCTGCATATTTTGACCAATTGAAGATGAAAAATGGGGTTGCTCCCTCGGCAACAAAGAAATTATTTAGCACCTTCTTTCAATACTCATTGAAAGTGCGTTGCTGTGTTAGAAGAAGGATAGCTATACTGATTCGGTATACTTTAAAGACGCCCTCGGTAGAATATTGACGATCTCACAAAGATTTTTTTCAGTAAATTTCCATTTACTGATCCAATTTTTTACGGAATCGATCCCCTTTTGACTGTACAAAATAATGTAATCAATATTTAATAGAAATTTTCTAACATGTGTGTTAATGACACTAATAAGAAACATTAATTGAACTATTAATTATAGGGAATATTATTATAATTAAATATAAAATTTATTAATTATATAATTTATTTTTCATAATTAATGCATTTCACATTTAATTAGGGTAATATTTCCTATAATTAATAGAACAATAAATGATCAAAATTATTGGCGAGTTGAATAACCCATATTCTTTTAATAGTTAAAATAAATGATCAAACTGTAGCTTAAACCCATTTTAACAGTTAATATGTAAACCGCTAAAAAAAAATGTAAACCGCTTAAAATATAGTTAATATGTAAACCGCTAAAAAAAATGTAAACCGCTTAAAATGTTTTTTTTTTTAAATACATATAATAGAACAATAATTAAACACAATACCTCTGATTTAGCATGAAAAAAACGACCCACTAAAGTAAATACAGTTATTTAGTATGAAAAGATATGAGCCACTAAAAGAAACAATTATTCAAGGTCTCGATTTCTACCATTTTATTTTGTTTATTTCTCATAGTACTTGAGTTTGTTGGTCATGACTTTTATGAAATAACATGTTTGATGTTTAATATAAGATACATGTACATGATTACATTGTTCTTAATCATGTTTTTGAATTAAATTATTAATATAACAATATAACTTTAAATCATATTTAATAAATTAATTATCTATAAAATCTTAAAAACAAACAACAAGTCGAATTCGTGGATCAACCCAAACCACATACTAAAAGTTAACAATTTAAGACTTAAGTCTCGAACAACTTTTGTGATTTGTCTAATCATCATGGCCAATTGTTTTCTTTTCTCGGATAAGATGATTGTTGCATAAAGATGCTTATGTCTTTTTAAGTTTAGATGTACAAGTACGGATGCGGTTGGTACAAGTGAGTAGGAAGTGAGTGGTGTTATAAAATTTTCCATTTTCAAATGATTGAAAGGTGCACTTGAATTGTACGTAGGAGCATGCCAAGTCCCATGAACTTTTACCAAAAAGGTGACACTACTATTAGTGCTTTCATTTTAAACTTTACCATACATATCAAATCAACAAAAACTTATATTGCATACTTATTTATGCATTAAATAAAAACCAGTCGTCCATACACGTCAATGTTCTTTTTTTGATCCATTTCATGTGTTTTTTTTAACAACCGATAAATGTGTTTTTTTGCTCTTTCTAGATTAATTTGGTTAATGGGTAAATATAGAAATTTCTTGCTTCGGTTTTGATTATAGTTTCATACATATAAAATGCATCATGTGTGCATACCATATGCCTTTAACGTGCTTCTATGTTTTCTAATATAACATGTATATGTATATGTTAACCGTAATATATAGTTTAATTTAAAAAGTAAAAATGGTAGTAAAATTATTAAGATATTCCTTTAAAGAAAGTTATCTAAGGATAACCCTCTAATTGCTCAAAGCAATTCCACACTTTGTGAGGCGCAAGCAAGAGTTGACATAAACACTTGAATTGCACTTCGTTTTGTTTACTTTGCTTTTAGTACGTGTGATTGTAACTTCTTTGATTTAATACTTACCCCTTTTTCCGCAATTTGACTTTAAAATGTCAATTTCTTAATTGTGAAGAATATAATTTAATAGTAGTTATTTATCGGGGTGGTGCTAAATTAATAGACCACTTTGAAGGGACATGTATGTTTGTTAGAGTTAGTGGTATTTTTTTGTATCTCTCTTAGATTAATTAGGTTTAATTCCCTTGTTTTCCAATTATTGTAACACCAGCTTTTGGCGTCTACATTGTGTCTTCTTCAATAGTTTAGTTGATCACGAATATAAGCTACCAATCTAAAATAGTTTTTTTTTAACAACACCAATCTAAAATAGTTAATTACATTAGTAGATATTAAGTTTATAGTAATTTACCGGCAATATAATATAATTACGTCACAAACAAGAAACAATACATTTTATGTTATACAAATATATATAATTTATAATAGCCGAAAGTGAAAACATGCTCAAACTTTTCAAATAACGGTAGACCGGATGTTTGTTCCACTATCGTTCCCAAAATTCATCTTTTTGGCCCGATTTCAAATTTCCAATCATTTTGATCAACATTTCGACATATATATTTAATTTTGTTTTGTATGTAATAATATATATCAAGTATTTCTCATGCAATAGATTATGATGCATTGCTTGCTGTTCCAAAAAGAAAATGTATGCATGGAAAAGTATTGAAAGAACATGTTACTTTTCTAACAAAATTTATGCTTTCATAAAAGTATATGTGTATGTGTTTTCACTTTTCATCATCGTCAATATCAATATAAATATACGAAAATGAACAAGACATAACCAACTTTTCGATTCCCAAATTGTTTTTGTACATACCTTACTTGAAAATACTACCATAACATTTAAAGATGTTAAATGATATAAACCAACATCTTTTTTTTTCTTTTCTTAAACTCCTACCTATAATCAAGTCCATCCACATTCATAATCAATGAACATTACTCCATTGCTTTTGCCCCGGAAACCATTTTGGACACTTTGGGCTTATATAACTCGACACAACCCTCGAGTTTAACAGTTTTATAATCGGCTCAAACTTTACACACCTCGGAGTCTTGTACTGATTAATCGAAGCACCTAAACTTATAGCATAATCCATCAATTTATCAAACGTCCCGTTTTCAACAATCTTGATCTCCAATGCTCCTATGGACTTATCTGAAGCTCGCCCTTGCCTATAAACACTGTTCAACGACTCTTCAATCGTGAGACAAGAATCTTCAAACACCGAAGCTGGAACCTGAGTTAACCCATTTTGGCTAACCTCCCAAAAGATCACATAGTGACCAGGGATCGTGGTTGTGTCAGCATAGCTCGTGTACTCGGTCAATGTCGCACCAAATGGGACCATGTGGCTAACCGCGTTCTCCACTGCTTTGTGTAGCTCCACTTCGTCAGTCTTGTCTGAATCAATACTCAATGCCACATTCTTTCGACAAATGAAACTGAATTGAGGTGCTTTGTTCTTAAATCCAACGACTCTAAGAATATCACCAACTCGATACCTGTAAAGACCTGCAATTTCAGAATCTTTAATCAGCATATGCACTGTGCACATGAAGTAACAGATCAGCTACTTAAAAACGTGAAAATTTGAATAGAAAGAAACCTGCATAAGTGGTGACAACGAGTTCATATTCTTGACCGAGTTTAACGTCTGCGAGATCGACAAGTTGTTGCCTCTCTTTCTCACCTTTCGTGGTGCTCACGCCATTGTTGCGATGAACAGGTAGGAACTCGAAATATGCCATGGTGGGAATGAGTGTGTACGCAACCTCACTAGGGCTACAAAGTGGGTTCAAATTAACCCCAAAATAACACTCAGAAGATGCATACATTGTGCACACAAGAGGGAGTTTATTGCTATAGTAATCAAGGGTTGGTATATACTGAGCCATGGACCCGGTAACGATAACGTCGACATACTTTGTGTTCGGCCATAATCGCATAATAATCCCTTGCCATGACTTCCTTGAGCACTCGAGTTCGATAAAATCGGCAAGATTCGGGTCGGGTTTCAAGATTTTCATCACGGATTCCCTCACGAACGGGTCGGTGATAATTGAATTCAAAGTACCCGTGCGAATATCATGGCTCAAAAGATTCCAATGCTTTTCTAAAAAACCGAATAGCCCGGATGAATCCCGAAGCAAAAACAGCCCCGACCCGAAGAACTTCGTTGTTTAGGTACAACCCGCAAAGCATTTGGGAATACATGCTTTGATACGAATCGGGGCAAAGAATGGTTTCGTTCGGGCTCGTGTAATTTGTATACGGGTCGTAAGGTCTTTCTTTAAAATGGGAGCTTTTGTAGTAACTTGTCAAAACGGGTCGGGCCACGAGCCCACCGGGGGTTTTTGCTTCGGATTTTATAAATAGAAAATACATGCCTTTGCCTTTATCCAAACCGGGTACAAACCGGTTCATCACTGGCATCAAAAGACTGTATAATAAAGACCTTCTTCCGAGCTCGTCTTCAATGGTGGGCATCAGTTTTCTCTCTCCTCCAGATGTCCCAGAACTACAAATTAAAATAACCGGTTAAAAGTATATTCAAACTACCAAAACACTGTAAACTGATGTATTTACGTAACAAAAAATGGTACCTTGTTAAGAATTCGGATATCGGGTGGGAGGAAAGAATCGGGGATTTATCGCCATTCGCGATGCGTGTAATATCGTTTTGGAGATCTTCATAGGTAACAACAGGGACAAGTTTTTTAAACGTTTCACGATCAGTGTAGCCGGAAAGACCATGGCGGTTTAAGTATTCGACGTTGGCATTTTGGGTGAGGATTTCGGAGAGGATCTGTCGTTGGACGTTGTCGGGGTTCGAGGTGACGTCTTCGATGAATTGAAGACACTTTTTGTTTTTCTCGGTGAGATTGTAGTCCGTCAGGGTGGTGGAGTCGTTGTTCGGTGCCTCAGCCTCAGGCATGGTGCCTTACGACGGTGGTGCACACTGCACAGAGAGCAAGTGAGTGGTTTTAGAGAGAGAAATGGTGGTTGTGGGGAGGGGAAGAAGAGAGAAGGTGTTGTTTATATAGACGAAAGATGGAGGCTTAGGACTAAGGTGCATAACAACTGGGTGTCGAAGGGAATGGCATGAGTGTAAATTATGTGGCTACTATGGGTGCTTATTTGTGATGACCATTGAATTCAAACGATGATTTCACCCTAAATAGAATCTCAAATATTATAAAATAAATTAGTTATTAGGTTCAACTTTTTTGGTTTATATAGTTTATTTCTCTTGGGTTTTCAAATATGTATTTTACATAATATACTACTTAAATAGAAAAATACAATTGGTGAACGTATATATAGATTAGACACTTAAATTAATATAAACTTTATTAAACATAAACATAACAATACAGAAATTACTTATTAATTACGTTCAATTTTCTATTTTTCTTAGATATTTTTTTATTTTCATATATATCATAAAATCATAAGTTTGTTGATATAGTCCACATAAAATATTTAACTGAAAGATTTTAATATAACCAAATTGCATTGAAAATTAAAATAGTTTAATTTAAAATTTTAATACTAAAAAACGTTTTATATGAAAGAAAAAGACAGGAAGTGTTGCTTATTATTATTATTATTATTATTATTATTATTATTATTATTTTCTATCAAACAGGTTATCACGTATTCCAATAATATTCCTAGCTAATATTAGTACAGTCCCAAATAATAAGTCTAATGATATCTAATAGAAAATGATCCACATAAATTGGTATGAAAGTGTTGAAAAGGTGTCTCTTAGTTCAAGTTGATAAAAAATATAGATTTAAAATAAGATTATATAGGTGTAAAAGAGAACATAAAAAAGCACTTATGTGCATAGGTCACACCAACTTCTTGGAAAGGAAGATATTTTTAGGGTTTTATGTGGAAAGGATGCTTACATAAACCCCATACAAGAATATCCAATCATATTACGAAAACAACCATTATATGAAAAGGAAAGGGCATGAACAAAAATTAGATATTAATTCGCATAAAACAGCGACTATAAATAGCATTTTTTATAGATAGTTCCATACACGAAAGTAATTATTATATTTTACTATTAATTATTATGTAATAAAAAATTTACAATTTTTAAATAAAATATTTATGTTTACCGGTATCTAGTTTAAGAAATGTAAACTAATTTATATATACATGAATTTAACATTTTAAAATTGTTATTTTGCTCCAAATTAAATTTATTAATAACCTTCCTTAATTCAACTCTTTAAATTTTTGACAAGTATTAATGATTTATTTATGCATAATTGATTTGTACAAAAAACTTTATATCTTATACCTCTTGAAATTCAAGATATGACTAATATGTTTTATAATATAGTATAAGATACAAGATATAAGATATAAGATATATTGTTTATTTTCTCTTAGAAACCATTAGACTTATTATTGGAATTGTGCTAATATTATATACATATTAAAAATCGTTGCGTTTAGAAATAGTACATGATCCATTCATCTTCCGCCAACTCTTGCTTCCCTCAACCCATCCCTTGATGTCACCTGCTCGGCTCACAACCATTTCCTTCCGATAAGATTTCACCGTTCTTCCTAACATCTTCTACTAATTTATTTATTTTTCACCGCTTCTGTTAATTCATCGTTTTCTCTTTAACCCACCGTCTCAAATGCATTCTCCATCTTTGTATGGTTCTTCAATTGGGATGTGTGTGATGTTGTAACAAGGCACAAGAGTCGAAGCTTCATGTATCATGTAACGTCCCGAATTTCAAGGCAATTTTTTTATTTTTATTTCATTAAAACATAAGTCTCGCAAACAGTTATATTACATTCATTTATAAAACAGAGTTCTAGCGGAAGTCTTAAAAATATTATTTATTGTCATCAATGCAAATACAATCATGCGGGAGCCTTTCCTCGATCTGAAGAACAACCTGAAAACCAGTTATTTAACAACTGTAAGCCGAGGCTTAGTGAATTCCCTCAAGATAACATAAACCACAATACATATATAATGTATACACATAATGGCCTTCAACATGAAACTGATCCGCCCCATTTTGCCTTCCGCGTAAAGCTAGTCCGCACATTGGCCTTCAACGTAATGCTGGTCCGCCATAGTATATTGGCCTTCAACATAAAACTGGTCCGCACTCAAATCACATACACACACAAACACACACACACACACACACACATATATATATATATATATATATATATATATATATATATATATATATATATACTTATCTAAGAGGAAAACAGTTTAACACGATGGGCAACTAGTCTAGTGGCCCGACTCCATACTACAGGCTAACTATATCCTAACATACAAAGGATACATACTGGAGTATACAATATAGTGAGGAGAACTCACCTTGACAGTTTATCAGATGGTTAACAGCTATTTGGGAAACCCGATTGGTGAGTGCGCGCCTAACATGTATTAACCTATAATACTAGAGCTTATCAGTCTCTAGGGAAATCTGGTAATGTATGATAGACCTTTTAATAAATCCCAATGAATACCGATAGTTCTATCAAATAAGGATCAGTCAGGTAGGACAGTAAGGAGGTAGGACCATTTGACATATAGCCTTCCTGAAATCCAACAACCAAGCCAACGTGAACCTTTTAGACACTTCTCCTGTAAGTAGATCAATCCATATATAACTTGGAATTACTGACGAATCTAGCATTTATAGGTTCCTAATAATGATTATAATTACAAAGATAAGCTATTCTAAAAGCTTAGTAATCGTAGCTGTACTTACAGAGGTTTCTAGCGAAAATCGAGATTTGTGCTAGCAGGACTTTGATACCGAGCACTTCTATTAGCTGAGCCTAGATCCCCAAGGATTCGCTAAACTAAAATACTCTGAAATCCCAAAGAAAAAATCTCTAAAACCAAGCCTAATAAATGAGAGAGAGTTTATAATGGTGTGGAGAGGATTGTGGGAAGCAAGGAGTATTTATAGGCAGCAAAACTCAGAGGCGCGCTGCGCCTTGACAAGAGGCGCACCGCGGTTTGGCCTGGTCGGCCCTCCCTGCTGCTGACACGTGTTCAGTAATTTGTGGTGTTGTGTGGCAGCTTCTAGAAGGTACTCACCGCACCTTATTTGCACGAGGTACACTCAGGAAACTTCAAAAATTCGTAACTTCTTCATATGAACCTGTTTGACGTTCTTTATATCCACACGTAGCTATTGACGAGGTCTACAACTTTCGTTTAGACTTTATCAGCTAATTCTCACTTTATTTATTATTTATTATTTTAGAAGGGTTAGATTGCTAATATCCACTTAAAATTCATATCTTTTTCATACGACATCCATTCTTGACCATCTTTATATCGACGGACTCCAATTTACGAGATCTTCAACTTTCGTTTAGATTGTTTTGGCTAACAATCAATCGATTTAAATTTCGATTTCTGTGTTTGCACTACTGCGCTGAAACTTCGAAAAATCATAACTTCCTCTCACGAAGTCAGATTCAGACGTTCTTTATATGCACGTTCTCGGCTACGATACTAAAAATTTCGTTTAGACTGCTTAGGCTAATAAACAACCTATGTAAAATTCACTTTTTACGATACGCTGAGCCATGTCAGTTTAATCGTAAAACTTCGAAGAAGCATAACTTCTTGATACAAAGTCGGATTTAAGCGTTATATATATCTACGAAAATCGTATCGATGTTTTATACATGTTTATGATGACTATTTTGGTTCAAAATTATTATATCTCTACTTTGTATTTATAATAACTGCTTAATATTATAATATGCGGAAGTAGTAAAAATGGGGTGTTATAATTCTCCCTCACTTACAAAGATTTCGTTCTCGAAAACTAACTAAATAATTATGGGTAGTTGCTTATCATCTCTTCTTCTGGTTCCCACGTCCATTATGATCCCTTTTCGGTGTTGCCACTGCACCTTCACTAAACTGATCACCTTGTTGCGTAAGGTTTTTGTCTTCTTATCTAGGATTGCCATTGGTTTCTCCACATAGTTTAGAAGTTCATCTACGTGAATATCCTCAAAAGGTACACTTGCAGATTCATCTGTAATGCACTTCCTTAATTGGGAGATGTGAAAGGTATTGTGGATCTGACTAAGCTCTTCTGGAAGATCCAGACGGTAGGCAACCTTGCCCACTAGAGCAATATCTCGAAAGGGTCCGATATACATAGGGCCTAACTTGCCCCTCTTCCGAAACCAAATGACACCTTTCCATGCTGAAACTTTGAGTAGTACGAGATCTCCGAATAGGAACTCAAGATTTGACCTTCATCGATCTGCATAACTCTTCTTCCGACTCTGAGCAGTTTTCCATCTTTCTCTTACTTGTTGGATAAGTTCAGTAGTCTTGATTATAAAGTCAGTACTTCCCATGACTCGCTAGCCAACTTCTCCCCAATATATGGGTGTCCGACACTTTCTCCCATAAAGCATATCGAAGGGAGGTCTACCAATACTGGAATGGTAAATGTTGTCGTATGAGAATCCTGTCAATGGTAGATAAGTATCCTAGCTTCTACCGAAATCTAATACGCATGCTTGCAACATGTCTTCAAGGGTTTGTATCATCCTTGAAACATCCAAAAATTATGACCCAAAAATTTCATTTTTGATTTAAGTAAAAATAGTGATCCACAACATTGTTCATACATCCCAACCAAAAAAATATGTCAACATCATGAAAATCAGAGTATGTCCCATAAACAGAATCCATGTGGTGTGTACGATGAATTCAACCCGAGCTCTTCCCCTTGGAATCAGAAGTACCTGAAACATAAACTAAAAACCGTAAGCACAAAGCTTAGTGAGTTCCCCAAGATACTGCATATCAACATATCATATAACGGGTCCCGTACAAATGAGATACTGGCCCCGCCCACACTCGCATAACGGGCCCCGTGCACTAAAAGCAAATCAGATCAGATACCGGGGTGATGGTTGTGGTAGCAGTACAATCCTTGCTGATATGACCAGCCT